TGAAAAGGCCCATGAAAGGACGAAGATTTGCGACGATTGAGGAGATTAAGGCTGCATCGCTGGAGGAGCTCAAGGCAATACCCAAAAGTGCATTTCAGAAGTGTTTTGACGACTGGAAAAAGCGCTGGCACAAGTGCATTGTATCACAGGGGGATTATTTTGAAGGGAATAACATAATTTTGGATGAATAAATGAATATTTTTTTATAAAAATGAAAAGTCACCTTACTTTTTGTTCACACCTCGTATATGTCTAGTTATTAATCGAGTATGAGTGTTCGCGATTTTGCCGAGAAATGATTTCCGTTGACAATTTATGCGCCGCGAAATGAGATTAGGAGTGCATATACGTGGCTGTCATTGCGATCGCGAAAATTTCTCTAAGTCCGTTGTTCGTTAAGTTCTTAAAACCATCGCGGTCGAGAGTGCATTATTAAAACCATCTCTTTGGACCCACAAGTGCATTATATCGAATATCCACTGCCCCCTCAGGTAAGGTGCCTTAAGGGCAGGTTCTCATGAAACTCGACCCGAAAATGTCAAAATTTTTTTGCGTTTTTTTGATAGCTTATTATGTGTAGAATAAGCCCCCATAAACGCCAGAAAAAGTTTGGCTGAAAAAAAAAAGTGGTACAAAAAGCGAACCCACCTTTTTACACTAAAATCGACTAAAATTGAGTTCGCGCGGTAACGCGTATTTTACGTAGATATCTTTGAAATTTGAACTTGTATTTCTCCAGCTTACCATCATATGGTAAAAACTGATCAATCGTCACAAATGAAACATTACGAGATGGAGGAAGGCCTAATGTATGGTCCAGGAATAGCCGATTAACCGAAAGTTTTTATTTTTCGATTTACACAAAGAAAACCCTTATCAAAATTTTAAACGCGTTTTCTGAAAAATACTGTTTTTCAAAACTGTAGCCACGATTTCTCAAGATCTAATTGACGGATCGGGTCAAACTTTTTTTTATTTTAAAGTAAATTAAATTTATTGGAGGATGAACCTAAATGCGACTGATATTTCATGTTTTTTCGATTTTTTATAGCACTTTGAAGAGCGAACAAAAACGTAAAAAACGACATTTAAAATTCAAATGCATGTCATTTTTTCAATTTTCGATATTTTTTCGGTTTTATAGGTTCAAGCTCCAACAAATATCATATATTTTAAGAAAATTTTTGGTTTTTTCGTTTTAGATCATCCGTTCGACCGCAATCCTGGCTGTAATCAACCAACATTTTTTTCACACGGTCACGTTGCAGCACGCATAAAACATTTTCTTCACAATATTAAGCGACGAAAAAATTTATTTTTGTACTTAAATACTTGATAAATATGTGCCAAAAAACTAGAATTGATAATTTACATCCTACCATGAGAAAAAAATTCAAGAAAATTACCTTATTTTCGGGTCGCTAGATGAGAACCTGCCCTTAAGTGTGTTAAATGTTTCGATGATGATGGGATAGGAAGAGTAAAGGGCGAATACAGCGACCTACCGTATTTATCCAAACATCTTAAAAAGTATCCGTATAAAGATGTTAAGGCCCATTTCACCATGTGCCATGTGTCTCTCGCAGTGGATGCGGCAGGTCAAAGCACTCGCGGCAGCCTCGGTGAGTGCAATAGTGTGGGCCAATTGACAACTAGTGGCGCGGCTAAAGCGACCTCACGATTGGCGGAGACGGTTGGAGGACCAGATAAGCGCCGGGCCGCAACATCGGGTTCGCGGCGACTAAAGGCGCGGGTCCAATAGAGGTCCGTAAACTTAACCGTAAAATCCGTAACCGTAAGAAATCTCCCCCTATCGTCTCCAATGGCAGCCCGTGGCGGTAACATAACGTAATGTAACTAACATAAAGAACTGTACTTGTATAATTGCGCGGAGTATTTTAACCTCTTTGCTGCTTGATATTTGAAGTTGTTTATTTGATTGTAGAAGTATATATTTATAATGAATTCTCTGCAACTTAAAAAAGCAGCTCTTGTGATTGTAAATTCAATTGAAATTATTTTGCAATTATTGCGGAGAAAAAAGAAAAAGACTCCAAAACGAAAATTTTGGGTTCGACCTATGTTATTACAACGGAAGAAAAAAGGTCATTTTCATACTCTCTTCCAATATATAAAAACCAAAGATCATGAGCAATTTTTTAAGTTCACACGAATGACTGTTTCGCAATTCGAGGAACTATTACAAATATTGCGAGAATCTTTAACGAAAAAAAGTATTCGTGAGCCTCGATCACCAGAACAACGACTATGTATTACTTTGTAGTAAGTATATAATTTATATATATAAAGTATTTTAGTTGTAATTGTCATTCTATTTCAATTACAGTTTCAGTGAAATATTTTATTTTATATTTAGTTACTTAGCCCATGGCTGCAGCATGCAAACTGTTGCATGGAACTTTTACGTGGCCAAATGTACAGTAAGCAAAATTATCCGTGATACATGCAGAATTATTTGGGAAAAGTTATCGCCGAAGTATTTGCCACGGTCTACTACAGAAGATTTTATACGATATGCTCAAGATTTTCAGGATAAGTGGAATATGCCAAATTGCATTGGTGCGATTGACGGAAAGCACATCGTTATTCAATCTCCTTATAATAGTGGGAGCAATTTCATCAATTATAAAAAGACATTCAGCATCGTTTTATTAGCAGTTTGCGATGCTAACTACATTTTCACGCTTGTTGATGTCGGGGCTTTTGGCTCGCAAAGCGACGGAGGAGTGTATAAATCATCAGCTTTTGGAGAAGCAATGGATAATAACGAACTTGGTGTATCAGACGATACCAACTTATCGGGAACTGATATAAAGTTTCCATATTATTTAGTAGGTGACGAAGCTTTCCCATTGAAAAGCTACATTATGCGACCATATCCTGGAGCTAACTTGAATATAACACAGAAAATATTTAATTATCGTCTCTCTCGAGCACGTCGCGTAATTGAAAACTGTTTTGGGATTTTGGCTAGTCGTTGGCGAATCTTTAGATCGACGATTATTGCGGATGTCAATACCGCAGAATGGAATGTATGTGCTGCATTATGCTTGCATAACTTTCTTCGATTGTCAGAACTCTCAACAAGTCCAGAGAATGCTATGTATTGTTCTAAACGTCACGTCGATACAGAGGACCAACAAGGAAATGTAGTACGTGGAAATTGGAGAAAATGTGAAGAAAATAGCGTTTTCAAGACGATTGGAAGAATGGGAGCAAATAACGCTACACGCAAAAATATAAACTTACGTGATACGCTTGCTAATTATTTAATTTCTGCAGAAGGCGCAGTTTCCTGGCAAGAAACACATGTAACTAGAGGATCGTTTTAATAATGACTGATTTAACGCAGTTTACACTGTACAATTTTCTATCGTATGAATAAAAAACAAATACTGATTCATGCTTTTATTTTCGAGAATATGTATACTTTTTATTTCTAACCGCTCACAGTAAAGGAATAATTGTATTTGAATGTACTTCAAAATTATCTTTATTGATAAAATGTCTTCCAACTAAAATTATAAGTAAAATTTTTTCAAATTACAAGAATGCTTCATTAAATGCTATAAATGACAAAAATTGCACTTCATTAACTGCTACATAAAAATTGTAATGCATAACTGAAACATAAAGTACTTTACTTTTTTTAAAGAAAACAAAGTTTTATAAAATTCATTTCAAGTTCTTAATAATAAATTTAATTTGTGTTAATAATAAGGTAAAACAAATACATTTCATTCAGTCAGATTCGAGTTCTAACATAATTGAACTGATCCTGCTACGAGCAATTTTTTGCTTTGCTTTAGACATTGTTTTCAACTGACTGTACGTCATTATACAAAAATTGTATGCTACATCATCGCACTTGCCCGTTGATTCACACAGTTCTTTTACATTTTGCAAGGCTCCTGAAATTGCTAAAATAGCAGCATCATCCGCATTTTCTTCAACCTTTCTGGCTTTTTTTGCTTTTTTACCTCCATCATCAGTAGCAAACTGAAGACATGAATTCTTCCGATGTTCAGTGTTTCTATTATTTTTTTGTAATGGCTCCGTCAAGTCTATCAAATGGCCTTCTGAATCACTTATTTCTTTTTTAATTTCAATTATGTTATCATTTTCTTTATTTTGGATAGTTCTTAAATATTCAGCTACATCTGGATCGTTAGTCTCTACTGTCTCTACTGTCTCCCAGCAGACGGAGTCTTTTTCAGATAGTGACACACTTTTTTTCATAATATTTCCACGTGTCCTGTCACAACATTAAAAATCAACTTTTTTTTCAAATGTGCATTATATATCGCATTCGGTACATATAATATATTCACTGCAGTTACCAATTGACATAATCAACTACAGTAATCCAATCTTCATTGATATAATACATCATAAATGTTATTAAGATCTTTCACAGGACATTACCTTCTAGTTTGTACATGTGGTTCTAGAAATAGAAGACTTTTGTACAGAGTACTAGGAGATAGTAAATTCGAGGACCCTGAGCCGGATGGAAGTCCTGCTTTCAAAGATCGCCTCTCACGAGCAAAACGTTCACGTAATTGGCCCCATCGGTATTGGCAGGCAGTAACTATAGAAGAACATAAATAATACTGTTATTTGCTAATATTGAACCAAACAAATAAATCATTATAATATGTATAATACATACCTTCTACGTTCAACGTTTTGGCGATGCTAGACCATGAATTTTGGGCCTTGTTTCTATCTTTATAATCTGGACGGCTTTTCGCATAGAGGTTAGGACATTTCTCCACTAATTGAATTAAATTTAAATCGAAAGATTCCATTTCGCGTGTTTGTTTAATATTTACTGCACCAATCTATAATCAATAATCCAATATTATTTATTTGCTGCACCGATCTATAATCAAATTTAATCTAACCTAATCTCTTTCCGTAACTGTAACCGTAAAAGTTCAAATATTGCAACTTTTAAGGTTACGGTTACGGACGTTACGTATATTACGGTTACGTTTACGGATCCCTATTGTAAATGATCCTTAACGCTTCCGTTCCCCCCTTCGCCATCGCAAGCAGCCAATGAAGCAAAGGCCCAAGGAAGGACGTCAATAACACCGACTAGCAGATCCCCTTCATACGCAGCAGTCACTGCGGGCCCATCAACCAGGAGCACAACATCTTCCACCACAGTCCGCAGTAAGACTGTCGCGAAGAGCGCCGCGCCTACCACAACAACCAGAGAGGCCAGGAGATCCGGCGAGGCCGCCGCAACGAGGAAGTCGCCGAGGACCGCCACGGTGAGCAAACCACGTGCGGTGTCGGTAGAAATAGTGAAATTGCCTGTCAAATCCATCTCCAAGATAGGCGTGCTGAACGCGGACAAACCGGCACGCGCTCCCTCTCATCCCCCGCAGAGGACATCACCGGAGGCGGGGGATTCACGACCATCCTTGGAGAAAATAAAATGCGGAGAGGGAGCAATGAATAAGTTGCCCGTCAATAAAGATCTTCCAGTTTCATCCAGGACTCGACGGGCAACGAGCGTGCTGGTTGAGAAGTGCGACGACACTGCAAGACGGGAGCGCGTCTCCCCACACCCTCCTCGTAACATAAAGAAGTATATATTATTGTCATCATCTGAAGAGGAGGGTACGCCATTCCAACCAGGCGGCGTGGGGAGACTGTGATTGCGAAGGAACCGGCTGACCAAACCACCCCCCATTACGATATCTTCTGAGGGGGTGGTTATGAGCGGTGGTTACGACCTCAAGGAGGTCGACCAGCGCTCCCTTCGAGAAGAGTGCAATGGATGCACCTCTGTCAGCTATGGACCGGCCATCGTCCAGAGTGGCAGGCAACTCGACGTCGCCAATCGCAGGGGGCCTTAACAACATAATGGACCAATGGAGGAAGACACTCCCTGCGATGCTCCACAGCCTGCCTCCGACTACCAGAGGCAATCCATCAGGGATCCCAGGCGAGAAATCCTTCTCGCCGGCGACTTCGCTACCGACGACGCTCACCACATGCACGGTGACGACGACCACCTGTGGAAGCCCAATTACATCTACGGGCTTCACATGTGGCGCGGGGAGGCAAATAACACCACCATCTAGCCTCCCTCAAAGGAACATCCTCCCGACCATCGGGGAGGAGAAATCGTCACCGTGCTCGGCGGTCACAACACCACCAAAAGGCGGCTTCAGGACGTCCCCGCTTATCCAACCAAGGCCAACAACTCCGGAGCCTGAGCGGGGACAAGAGTAGCGGCGGCAAGAAGGCGCGGCGTCCACTATACCCATCGTCGAGGGGGATGAGCAGTGGGGTGGCCAGTGGACGGTAAGCGTGGAGAGAAGAGCGAGAAGGCAGCAGAAACACGACAGATCCTCCTCCAACTCCGAGTTCCCGCCAACCGTTGAACCATCGCGTTCGCCGCGCATAGCCCCACTATCTGCATTAATTGCAGCGTCGACGAACCAGCACGACAAGAGTCTGAGCGTCAGCAGAATGAACAACAATACTTGTGAGGAAATAACTCCGCACCATAACATTTTGCCAGTGGGAGCGGAGCGACGAGGCCGGGAGACATCGCTGGACGACAACGAGGAGGGAGACGTCGGCCAGTGTACTGGAACGCAGGTAAATGCCGAACATCCGAGTGCTCCCACATATGTCCGTGGTGTGATGTCTCGACAGGGAGCAGCCAAGTCACCCACCGTACCACCGCGAGCCGATCGTGAGGAGGGCGGTCGGCAGCATCACGGTCGGCGGCATCCGGACGTACCTGTCGGTCAGCCGTCGCGGGATCACCCGGCGCCTGCGACTGTCGCGAGGCAGCGTAGGCGTGAGCGGGTGGCCGCCCGCGACGCGCTGCTCCATCGGTCTAAGGACGTCGCTACGATTGCGGACCTGGAAGCGTTCGCGGCTTCGATCGCGGCGTTCTTCGGGGAAGATGCATCGACCACTGTACCTGCAGCCCGAGCTCGCGATCGCACGGCGCGGTCACGGGAGACGGGTGCGCGTCAGGGGGCGAGGGGAGGTGAGAGAGGGCCCCGGAGCGTCGGGAGAAGTACGCGGAGACTGGATGCGCGAGGCCAAGAGCCTTCAAGCGCTGTACAGGGCGAACCGTCGTAGGACGGTGCGAGAAATACTCCAGGGACCGGCTGATCGGTGCAAAGTGCCGAAACACCGGATCCAGGAGTACTTTGAGCATCTGTATAGCGGCGGGGATGCTCTGGCCGGCGTTGGCGTGGAAGCCGAGCGCCCCGACTCCCCGAGTTCGCAGGAGGTGTCCGCGGTCCTGGGTCCGCTCGCGGAGTGAGAAGTGGACCGTCGGCTCCGGCGTATGAATAACTCTGCGCCGAGTCCCGACGGTGTATCCTACCGTCTCCAGTGACCGTCGTGGGGCGGATCCGGGAGCGCGGCTCCTCACAGCTATTTATAACATCTGCTTGCGGCTCGAGACAGTCCCCGCGTCCTGGAAGGACGCCAACACTGTGTTAATTCACAAAAAAGGAGACCGGACCGTGTTGGAGAACTGGCGCCCTCTCGCTTTGGGGGACACCGTCCCCAAACTCTTTGCCGCCCTCTTGGCCGACCGACTGGGCGGTCACTCACGGGAAGCTCTACTACGTGCAGAAGGGCTTCTTGCGGGACGAGTGGTGTTACGAGCATAACTTCGTCCTGCAGGAAATCCTGACGCATGCTAAGCGAACTAAGCGCCAAGCGGTGGTCGCTTGGCTGGACCTGTCCAACGCGTTTGGATCGATCCCGCACGCGACCATCCGCAATGCGCTTACAAGATCCGCGGTGCCACGGTATCTCATAGCGATATGGGACTCCATGTACGATGGTTGCACGACGAGGGTGCGAAACGCCGAGGGTCACACAGCACCCATCCTCATCCGGTCGGGCGTCCGTCAGGGTTGTCCGCTAAGTCCTATTATTTTTAATCTAACCATCGAATCGGTCGTCCGTGTGGCGGCCGGATCAGACGATGGCTATAACTTACACGAGCGCTCGTGGTCCGCGCTTGCTTATGCGAACGACATTGCACTGCTGGCCCAGACGCCTGAGGGGATGGAGAGGTTGCTAGCCTCTATGGAGGCGGAGGCAGCGTCGGTGGGATTGTGGTTCAACCCTGCAAAGTGTGCCACCCTGCACATTAGTGCGGGGAATGGCGGCATGGTCCTACCGACGTCATTCTAAATCCAGGAGGAAACGATAAACCCCGTGGCTCAGGGTGATCGTACACCCACCTTGGCATTCCAACCGGGTTCTCCGTCGACCAGACGCCTTATGCTGCTGTCGGGGACATCGTCTCGGACCTGCACGCGGTCGACCGATCACTACTCGCCCCGTGGCAGACGATAAAATTTTTATTACTTAATTAATCAAGTAATCGGAAAAAATTTAAAAGTAAAAATATTTTATTCCGATTACTTGATTAATCAGGAAATAAAAAATTTTTTATTTCGATTACTTGATTAATCAGGCAATTAAAAATTTTTTATTTCGATTACTTGATTAATCAGGTAATTAAACAATTTTTATTCCGCTTACTTGATTAATTAAATAATATTAGCTTCGACGAAGTGTGTCTTGTAGCGTAATTGAATAGAAGCGTCGTATAACAAAATAAATGGAAAGGTATCGCGATGAACAGCATACGTTTTGCGTAGTGCTCTTTCAATTAATTACCTCGCTTAACATACCTAATTGTGTTAAAACGTATTTAATCGTGCTCAATAATGTGATTTATAACGATAAGAATTGTAAAGAAACGATAAGATTAAGAAATGATAAGGGAAACTTCAAAACTAAAATGACATTCTTGGATAGTGTAGGCTCGATACGGCGAAACACGGGACATGTCAGGCGGCGAAGCGCTATCCTTCCCCTCTCTATGCGCGCCGTTCTGAGTGGCTCGCTTGCCAGGCCATCCCCGCTCCTCGCGGCCCGCCGCTCGACCGGCGCGTCATGGTGGGGACTGTAGGCCGTCCTGCCGGCAGCAGTACATGATCAGTAGGCTGGTCGGACGCTCGTATTCACCTATCTTTAAACGTTAATATCTCGTTAAATATTGCGTCCACTGCAAAATGGTACAAAACATTTTTGTTTCCCTTGATCCAATCTATGTCCCCACTGTGTTTCAGTCACATTTTTTGAGACACCCTGTATATAAAAAGATCTCTCTTTGTTATGCGGAAATATGCACGTTATAAGTCGTTTCACCACGATAAGATGGAGATCATCGGAACGGTTTTTTCTTTTCTTTTTTGTTTTTTAATTTTTTTTGCTTTTTGTATTTTTAACTTATTTTGTTTTTCTAAACATTTATTTGTTATTTTGCTTTTTGCCTTTTTATTGTGCCATATAATATTTCAAAGGAAAAAAAGGATTAATGTTAAAAAGTTTAATGTAAAAATAAAACAATGCTTAAAATATTATTTATAAACAATTATAGAATAATGCGTATGTTATTTAAAAAAAATAATGAAAAAATTCTTATAACATTAAAAATAAAAAAATGAAGTAATGCGTATATTATTTAAAAAAAATAATGCGTATAATATTATTACAATGCTAAATAATACTATAAAGGTATAAACAATATTCATGTGTGATTCATTAATTTTTTTATTTAAAAAATATTATTGAAAAAAAATAATGCGTATAACATTATTACAATGCTAAATATTACTATAAAGGTATAAACAATATTTATGTGTGATTCATTAATTTTTTTATTTAGAACGTTTGTTCTGTAAACTTATGTTTAATAAAAGTAAAATAAACATTCTATTTTAGTTTTTGCTAACAAAATGTTCTATTTTACGCAAGATTGTTG